AGACGATGGTGGAGAAGGGATGGTTCGCAACATTTTAGGATGTAATGTGGTTGTCCTTTTGGTTGTCGAAGTCACTGACATTTTTTTTTTTTTAGTCTGGTTGCTTTGTTGGTCGGACGCTCCATGTCGTGTGGTTGTTAGCTTCGTTTGTCGTTAATCTCTTTGTTAGACAGTGTGGTTGAAGCCGCCTGAAACCATCTCCTCCTCCTCCTCCTCCTTAAACTCCTCCAAACTCCTCCTCCTCTGCTATTCCTTAAACTCCTCTCTCTCTAACTTTAAACCCCTCCTCCTCCTCCTCCTTCTGCTCCACCTGCTATTCCTTAAACTCCTCCTCCCCCTCCTTCCTGCTACTCCTCCTCCTCCTCCTCCTCCTCCTCCTCCTCCTCCTCCTGCTACTCCTTAAACCGCCTCCTCCTCCTCCTCCTACTCCTTCTCCAATTACTCCTGTTGTGTGGTTGAAACTCCCATTCGGTGGTTGATGTTGTAGGTGATCTAACACATTATCAGTGGCTGTGTGGTTGACAGTGGTTGACAGTGGTGGCTGATACTCTTAATACTAGTGTGGTTGATGTGGTTGTGTCTGGTATTTTGTGGTTGAAATTGTGGTTGGAATGGCTTTTTTTCGGGGTTAATACTCTGTGGTTGTGGTTGCTGTTCTTGTTGTTATTTTATGGTTGAGAGAGAGACCCAAAAATCGAGAGAAGGAGCCAGAGAAAGAGAAAGTGAGAGACAGACAGAGAGACCAGACAGACAGATAGACAGGTAGATAGATAGATAGATAGATAGATAGATAGAGAGAGAGAGAGAGAGAGAGAGAGAGAGAGAGAGAGAGAGAGAGAGAGAGAGAGAGAGAAGAGAAAGAAAGAAAGAAAGAAAGAAAGAAAGAAAGAAAGGAAAGAAAGAAAGAAAGAAAAGAAGAAAGAAAGAAGAAAGAAAGAAAGAGAGACCCAAAACTCAAGAAAAAAGAGCCCCCCAAAAATAAAAAACTGAGAAATAGACAGACAAACAAACAAACAGCCAGACATCGAGACAGATAAACAGACAGACAGAGAGAGAGAGCTAAAGAGAGGGGGGCCCTGGGTGACGCGCCGTGCACGAACAGGGCCCCGGGTTTCGAAGGATCGTCTTTAGTCTTTAGGGCGAGGCAAAGGAGTACAAGGTGGGGGGGGGGGGAGGCAGAGGGGAGGAGGTACATGGGAAGGGGTCGCTGGGGAGGGGTATGGGGGTATGAGGGGGGGGAAGGGGAAGGGGGAAGGGTGGAGAGAGAGAGAAGAGAGAGAGAGAGAGAGAGAGAGAGAGAGAGAGAAGAGAGAGGAGAGGAGAGAGAGAGAGAGAGGAGAGAGGAGAGAGGAGAGGAGAGGAGAGAGAGAGAGAGAGAGAGAGGAGAGAGAGTGAGAGGAGAGACATGGAAGAAAATAGATAGATAGATTGAAATATGAATAGATAAAAAGAAAGAAAGAGAGAGTTAAAGATATATAAACAGATAGATAGATAGATGTTGAATGGAAGAAAAAGTAAAGCAAAAAGACTAGAAAACGAAGATTAAAAGAAAGAAAAAAACAAAAAATCATAAACAAGAAGTGGAAAAGGAAGAAGAATAAAAACGGCGAAAATAAATGAAAAGAAAGAGAGAAGAGGGAGGAAAGATACACAGGAAAACGATACATAAAGACGATGTCCGAGCGAAGAGGCGCATCAGAAAAACAACAACAACAACAACAACAACAACAATAACACCAATAGCGCCAGCAACAATACGAAGAATATTTCTAAATAATAACAAGAACATATCTTCTCATTCATACGTCTCCTCCCCTTCTTCTTCTTCTACCTCCTCCCTCTCCTCTTCTTCTCCTAAAGCTCTTTCCCTCTTCCTCTTCCTCTCCCATTCCCCTCCATCCTCTTTTCTCCCTATTCCACCTATTCCCCCTCCTTCCTCTTCCTCCTTCTCCTTCTCCTCCTTCCTCTTCCTCCTTCTCCTCTCCTCCTTCCTCTTCCTCCTTCTCCTTCTCCTCCTTCCTCTTCTCCTCCTCCTCCTCTCCTCCTTCCTCTTCCTCCTCCTCCTTCTCCTCCTTCCTCTTCCTCCTTCTCCTTCTCCTCCTTCCCCTCTTCCTCCTCCTCCCTCCTGGATGTTCCTGGATAACACGGGATAAAGCGCCTGGAATGATCTACTCGCGCACGCTCTCTCTATTTCTCATTCTCTCTCTTTCTATTTTCTCTCTCTCTCCTTTCTTTTTCTTTCCTCTCTCTTTCTATTTCTTTCTCTCCTCTATATTTCTTATTTCTCGCACTCCTTCTCCCTCTCTCTCTCACATGCACAAAACACACACCTCTCTCTTTCTTCGCTTCGCTCTTTCTTTCT